CAATTTTCACAGAATGGGGGGAAAATTGGTTTACTAATGTAAAGAAACTTGCCTGACGTGTTGCCAGAGTGGTACTCCTTCTTCCTTACTTATTCACTCTGGAAAAAGCCACCGAATCCTCTGTGTGCAGCTGAAGTGAGAACAGAGCCCATAAGTCTGGCAAGAGATAGAGAACGTTTCAGACTTCAGTGCAGTAATTCTGCCACCATTTAGTACGTGTACACCGATGAAAAAAGAAAAAAATGGAAAAGTGGCTAATTAATATTAAGAGCCTGCCCACAGTTTTTTGAAATCATATATTTTCCAGGGCTTATGTTGATTTTGAAGAGATAGTAGTACGTTCCTAAACGCTCTATGCGCAGGAACAGATCCCAGCAATGCTGAGGCTGAGTGTCAGGTTAGCTGAGTGTCTGGAGATTTCCCAAGTCAGCAGTCACACCTGGACCGTCATGTTCTGCAGAGGCCAGAGACCATGCCCTCTGTTATTTCATTTGATCTCTTTTTGTACCAAGACTTTTGGTCTCTGTAGCACCCTATGGCAGTGCCTTCTGCAGTTCATGCATGAAAAAGAGCCCTTCCTTTCATTTACATTTTTTGTCTGATGATTTTACTGGGAACCCACTGTTCTGGCAATGTTACAAAAGACTGATTCAGGAGTTTCTGTTCACCTTCATCATTTTACGTTTATACTTCCCATACCAGTTCTCTTCCAAATTGAAACATCTTGGTCTCCACAGGCACTCTACTGCTCTACGAAGTTTTTTCCTGGAGGTCTCGCAAACAATGGTCCTTCCACGGTTACAACTGACTGCCACATGTGGGGTGTGGCGCACCAGCCAGTGAAGCAATAGTCCTTGATCTTCCTTTGGTCAGATCCTCCCACACAGGCATCCTCTTTTTCCTCTCCTCCCTTGTCCTTTTCCCAGTGCCTGTTTGCCCTCTCCATTTGAAGCTTTATTCAGACCCCAGGCTGTGTTCCCTTACCAAAGCAGATGAGAGAGGAAACTATATGGATGTTGATGGGGTGTAGAGGTTTAGGATTACCAATGCCAGTCCACAAGTTGTATAAACAACTGTTTGTGGCCTATTTCTCACTTAAGGAACTTTTAGGCTTAATAAAAGGAAACCTCAAATTTAGTAATGAATTATATATGACCATATACATGGTATTATTTCTAAATTAGCCATATACTTACTCATAATCTATGTATGTCAGACATATCAAATCAAGCTCAGAATACTCCATGTGAAGGTCTGTAGTCGGAGGCTGTAAGCAGAGTAATTTATTATCCCTCCTCCAGGACTCCAACTTCGCAGGAGACAAGAACATCATCACAGAAGTATGTCTGGCCCTTTTGAGTTAGGTCTCAAAGCAAAATTTGGGAAAACTGGAAAACAAACTAAATGAACCAGAATAAAATATTTACTATTGTCTCCACACACTGAATGTTATATAGCTCTTCCCAGAACAATCTGGATCAATGAGAACACTTTTTGACAGAGTGGAGACGCAATGTTCTTTGGCAAACGAATCAATCGAAATTCTAGCTCAGACAAAATAATTTTCCCATTCAAGACCAAATTACGTGCTGCTGGCTTTAGGGTTAGTGTTCCTCTGCCAGGGTTAAAATTTCTGAAGCCTATCTGGCAGTATATACAAGAAGAAGTACTAGAGCACCATCAACGAGAAATTTTCTTGAGGCAGGGAAATGCTTCCACATTAGCACTTCAGAAAAATAAGGCTGACCAGGAGATCTGATCCCTTTGAGCACGGTTGCGAGGGAACCCATAACCACAGCACCAGTGTTTTTCCACCCCTCTTTGCTGGCTCTCAGCAGCAACCATGAATAACAAGCAGGAAAAACAGAGGCAGGTTTTGAAGAGAAATGAGGGCAGAGGAGGGGGGGAGGGAGGCGGGCCCGTCTTATGCAAGAGTGGGTATAAAAGGGGGAGCAGAGTACCCCTCCAAAATTGCAAAGAGTGGGGCAAAAGGAGAGCACGAACCTCATCGCTGAAGAACAGGTTTGAGAGGTCTATGTTTCTTTGTACCTTTATTGTGGCTGTTGCAGGGAGAGATTCATTAGGAAATGTGTGGGCCATGAGCTAGTTTTGCACAGGGGATGCTTGTAGGAACAGCCTTTCTTTCACCTTTGGTTCCTTTTTGCCAGAAAGCTTTTTGTCCGAATTTGGCCCAAAGCGGGTTTTCTGGCACAGCTCTCTTTAGGGGACAAAATCCTTGGACAACAGAGCTGAAGGGCAGGATAGAGACTCTTCTTTCTGAAGTCGAAGCTTTATCTTTAAGTGCACGCTCATTCCTAAAACCATGCCAACCCAATAAGAAAAAAGCCTCACAACAGAATCCACATCTAGTAATTGGAATAATGCTCATGCACTCCTGCTTAAAAATGGCTCAGAAGTAAAATGAAAGACTAACTGTAATTACATACTACTAGGATAAAATATGTTGTGGGTGTGGCAGGCTATGTTCTCCATAGTCTGAAACCTTCTCCTTTGGTAGAAACTGTTAGAAGATAAAAGACAAAGATCTAAGAAGTGCGCTAGTGTGTGATGCATCTTAATAGGGGAATATTAATTGAGTGAGCATAAGCGATTGGCAAATGAGGGGAGAGCTGTGTCTGAGCTTTGTAGTAGGGCATGAACATAAGGTGAAATCAAAGGTTCTCCCTCATTACTGAAGCCAGCCAAATTCCCGGTGGTCTGAAGCAGGAGGAGCACTGTGGTGAAACCAGGACATTGAATATTTCCTCATGAAACTTTTTTTCTGGAGAAAGCTGGGTATTATAATTTGATGAATTTATGGATGGGGGGAGGAGGGCAGGGAAGAGTGCTTCTCAAGGACACTGACAATTTTTTTACTGACAGAAAACAATAGAACTGAGTGTACAAACACCAGAAGAGACCCAAAGGTCAACTTCTCTGAAAAACCTGAGAACATTCAACTAAACTGAACTTTGTTTTATGTGACAGAGCCACCAAACTACCATGCTGGAGTTATTGTTCAGGTGCCTCCTGCTCCCCCTCTTCTGCAGGGCAACATCCCCTGCAACCAGGGATGCCTGACTTAGGGCTGGTACCTATAGGAAAAGAAGACCACCAGCTGCAGCATAGCTTGGTCATGACCTGCAGGGGAGCTGGAAGTAGGAGATACCTGAACAACACTGCCCTAAGGGTGCTACAGCACAGGGGCATAATGATTTCAGGGAAAAAAAAAATACAGTAGCTGCATGTTTTGTGATTTCCCCTTCCAGGGTTTATTGTCCACAGCAAACATGTAAGTCTGGCAGCTGTACTATATGTTATTAGCATCACTTGTAGCTTATTAGTCAAAGGTAATAATTCTTTTTAATAAGGATACTTTTCAGAGTTTTACAGAACACAAAGGACCCTTCACTGAAACAGCCATCATTTGTGTGTCCTCAATACAGAGAGTAACCTTAGTACAGAGAGTGGCCTCAGCCAGGCTGGGTTTGCTTTTTCCCTGTATTCAGGCCTCATCTAGGAGGATACAGCAGACCAGCTATAGCTCACAGATCTGGCATTGTCTGGCCATTTGTGCACGCTGCAGATGCCTAGTGCCTCATGGCAACCCGCATGGGTGATGGTGCTGGAGATAGAGATTTAGCCTGTGCTCGTGTCCCACCCACACCTCCCCTGGCCTCTAAGGGACCAGCTGTCTCCCCCAACCTGCCTGCAGAAAGGACTCTCTAGGGGAGAGAGGAAAGAAGGGGGATTGCAACCTGAAACGTATCTTGTTCTCTTAACATTTAGCTGAACAAAATGCATTTTTCACGGAGGAACTACTTCTCCTATTGTCTATATACATAGATGAGCTGCATGCATTTTATACCTGTCTGGAGATGGTACAAATGCTCAGAGACTGTTCTGCAGCCAGAAGCATCCTTAACTGAGATACTCAGGCAGCAAGAGGACAAAACACCTTGAATATTTCAAGCTATTTGCTTAAGCCTTCAGTGCATGATAGCATCTCATACAAATCTGGGCTCAGAACCACTTTCAGACCTCATTAGAGCAAAGCTAGTTTATTTAAATGAAAAGCAAGACTGCAGAGACTGAAATTTCCCATCTCTTTGACATTAGGCACCTGGCACACAGCCCTTGGGCTGGCAGGACTCAGCTGTCTCTGTCTCCACCTTTATCTCCACCAGCTCCACTGGCCAGATGCACTGAAAACATCGGTCTCTAGAGCCTCTCTCCTTGAATCCAGCATGTAACTGGGCACTGCAGTACAAATCATGCCTGACTGTCCCTCTAAAATCAAAGCATAGATGACAAATCCGCCCTACTCCTGTTATAGCTGTGGGATTTTAATTACTAAGCATAACAGGGGCACTGAACGAGACCCAGTGTAACTATCTAAACATTATCCCTGTTTTGATTCAGTGTTAATTTGCTTAAAGAGGAAGAAGAGGCACACCAAAATTGGAAGATAGTTTCAAAAGCAGCAGAAAGATCTCTAAATCCCACCCTTTTTGCCAAATAGGACTTGGAAGGCTGAGACTGAGAGGGGTGAAATCTCTATGATCCAGCTCTGGCAACCTTATCCATCTGGCTTTCATCTTCTCCTTTCCAACACATTTTGTTTTGAAGAGGAAAAAGAACAAAGCTTTGACATTCTGGACAGATCAAGAGGGAAAGAAAGGGTAAAAATGGAGAGCTTAGTCACTTTACTCTGTAATAATGTACATGCCTCACAAACTGATGGGTACCGAGGCTGCAAGGTAGAGATTAAAGGTGCTTTATCCAAGAAGACAAAAATCTCGTCCAACTGTACAACAAATATACGTACAAAGAAATCTGCATTCCTTTCAGCCTGGCATAAAATGAGCTATTTTCAGCTCCTATAATCAGTTATTCTGCATAGTAAAACGCCTGTGTCTGTCTTAGTAAATGTGTAACTGCAGGCTACACAGGTGTGCTGGGTCTGGTTAAAGGTTGTGTATCCATCCCTGGAACTTTCTACACAGCTGGTGTTAAGCTGGGCTCAGGTTTCATTGGGCCCTGTCTGGCCTGAGCTCACTTTTTTCAGCCCCCCAGCCTGTGATGTAAAGTAGCTTTGCGCAATGCTGCTGCAGACATGTAGAAAGGGCCCTCCGGTAGAAAGGGCATAAATCCACCTGCAGTCACACCACCCCAAGGGGAAGAGGTACTGTGGGGAGCTCGCCTGAGGGGTAACAGTGTCGGAGGGGCAGCGGAAGGGCTTCACACACCAGGACAGAGGCAAGTAAGCACTTGGATTTTCTTGGAATGCTAGTTTTCAACTCAGGTGTTCATGCTTTTCTGAAGGGCTTGGGGCTGCCTTCTTTAGGGAAATAAACCAGGCAGACTTTCCACAGATGGGTCTTAGCGTAAGTGCTGGCAGTGAGAACTGCTCCTCTTGCTTCTGCTCATGAGAAAAGAGCTGAACTGGGGGCTCTGGCAGCCGTAGGGAAGTAACCGCTGGGCACCAGTGGCACGTAATGGCACAGCCTGTCTGGGTGGCACAGAGTGACCCTCCCTGCTACTGCAGGAAGGATTAGGAAATGCCTCAAAAGAATTGTATATGGAGAGAACAGTGCAGGCAGTGCTTCTAATCTGTGGCTTTTTGGTTCATTTTCCTGAGCTGTCCCAATATCAAAAATGTATCACATAGTCTAGAAATTCACTAGCACAGTGGATGGGCTGTCTGTGAAGATGAAGTTGGGAAGGCATCTCCAAAGATAATTTTTTAACTGGTCACCTGCTGCCAGCTGGGCTGGGGAGGCTAAAAGAGGACAGGGAGCAGAGGGAACAGCAGCAGAACTGTGCTGCCTGTAAAATAACTTAGAGGATGAGGTGGGACACAATGGGGTAGAACAATCCTTGGATGAAGGCACAGGGCCAGAGATCTACAGCAGGTCCTCCCTTTCATGCCTCTGGGGAGCAAACAGTTTCAGGCCTTATGTGAAACTCCATTTTCAAACCAAGCTGTTAGAAGAGTCTAAAGCCTGAGAATGTAGATGTGCACATGAGCAGGCATACACACTTTGCAAGGTATGTCTAGTTGTCAAGCATCTGCACATCTCAGTTTTTGGAGGAGTAAGAGAGTAGTGATACTGCAAACTGGAGTATTATTAGGCATAAAACACTTGGGGACCCCTCAAGGGAATTAATATGTTTATACATTGTAAATCAGGCTGGGAAAGTGCCAGGTCTTTGGCTGGATTTAAACCCAAACACTTCCACCCTCTGTAAATTAAAGTGCTGGTGAGACAGACATTGCTCTGTGTCCTCTCAGTAGGCTACTGGAATTACAATATCTGACAGACTGGTGTGACTTGAAATGTCTTGGAGAATGCAAGCAGAGAGCAGAGCTTCGGTGCTCAAAAGGCTTATAGCATTTTGTCCATTCAATGAGCTCTGCAGAACTTGGAAAGGGCTGAAGAAGGTGAACAGAGCTGCAATGAACAAGAAATTAATAGTAGAATAAAAATACAGCTCTGAATAACAGAATTTTGGCCAATGATAAGTGTTATAGATGCATAATTTTCAACATATTTGGATTTCAAATACAGAAATTAAAAGTCATATACTGGAAATCCAAGAATGCTACTGCAGAACCGTTAGTTATCAAAAAATTAGATATAGGAAAAGTGAGAATTCTAAAAATGTAAAATTTGTCTGTGGGTATATCTGTGTGTGTCTGTTTATGTGTACCTATGACTTTCTCATTCCCAATATGCACTAGATATTTGTGCCAAAACACCAGTGACATCCACATACAGTGAAAAATCTCTGCTTCTTGTCAGGAAAAACAAGAGCAGCAGGTGCTCTTTTACCGCAGGAGAAGACTGTGTGTACAGCAGAGTTAAACTCAGCTTAACCCTTCTAACTCTGTACTCAGATATAAAAGGTGTTATGAAAATGGTTTCAGTGTTAGCACATTTGTATAAGGGAGCCTGGAGTGTGTTTGCCTAGAAGCTAGAATGAATGTTTGCACTGGGCTATGAAAATGTAACATGCTCTACTAGTGCCAAGTATTTTGCTGACTAGACATACAAAAGAGGATTGTTTCATGTTTGGACCTTAGGAGAACTTGTTTCCAAACCCACTTCCTGCATAACAGCAGGAAAATGGCTTAACCCATCCATGTGTCAGCAAGACTCAGTGTGGTAGTTTGCAGAGATAGCTCTGACCAGGTCCCAGGAACAAATGTTGTTGCATTATTATAATGTTTTGCAGAACTAGAGTGCTCTAGTTTGCAGGCCTAACCAGCCTGTGCAACCATATTGCTTGCCATGCTAAATTGTTGGGGTACTGCAGTGGGTAATGGAGTCACATCTGTGCTTAGCATTTCCCCACCTGCTGCCATTGAAACTGGTGTCCGTCTCATCCCGGGCTTTTCAGGGAACAGAGTCAGACCAGCCACCACTAAATACTGAAATTCCCACCTTTGTAAGTCCAATGCAGCACTAACACCTCATCCTGTGATTAAGAGAAACTGTACTTAAAACAGGCTGACCAATCTTCTTTTCTCCTCAGTTTTTCTTTCAGCAGACACCGTGGAGGCAATTTTCCAACATGAATCTGGTAGCAGATCTTCTCTGTTTGTTGGCTTGCCTTACCCTGGTGACTTGTGACAGGGTCTACGTCCACCCTTTCAATTTGTTTTCTTTCAACGAGAGTGACTGTGACAAGCCAGAAAAATTGGTTCAGGAGGGAAAGATGAAAACTATTGTCCCCGTCTCCATTGAGTCTCAAACCACACCAGCCTACGAAGATGACTTGAATGACAAGGACACGTTGGAACCCCTGAGCGTAAATGGCTGGGGGAAGGAGGAACCAGGCTACATGAAGGACTTGGTGTACATCCTGGGAGTGCGGTTTTACAGCATGCTGCGGAAAGCGCAGCAGGGCCAAAATGTGCTTCTGTCCCCAACCAGTCTTTACAGTTCCTTGGTGTCTTTCTACCTGGGCGCCTCAAATCAAACAGCACTTGATTTGCAGGGTTTGCTGGGACTTGTTCCCCCCTCTGGAAACCCTGACTGCACTTCCAGGGCAGTGGGAAGCAATTTCCTTTCCAGCCTGAGGACAATCGAAAGCCTCATGAAGAGTAGGGACGAGGAGCTGCTCTTTTCCAAGACACTCTGCCTGTTCTCTGCCCCTGGAATATCTCTATTTGAACTGTTCATGCAGGACTTGCTCCACTCTGCTGATGCTTTCTACGCCCGAGCTGTTGACTTCACAAATCCAAGTGAGGCAGCAAAACAAATAAATGCCTTTGTGGAGGCCAAAAGCGAGGGCCAAAGCAAGTCCTTACTGACAGATATCGATCCATCTGCAGACCTGCTGTTTGCGGTGGACGTCTGCTTGGCAGGTATGAGGCAGCACTGCTTATTTTGGGAGCAGGCGGGGTGAAGGGCAGGCAGTGTGGCCCTGCTGCCAGGAAGGAAGCAAGGTCACTCCTGGCCAGTGGTGAAAGGGAAGGGCTCAGATGAAACGCTGGACCACTGCTCCCCACCACTGTGCTGGGGGTCCTGCCTGCACTCTGCCACAAGCCAGCAAGGGCAATGGGAAGGAGGTGGAGGGAGATGGTGTTACAGAAATTTTCCTTGTCCGGGAAGCTAAGGATTAGGAAAGGTATGGGAAGGTGCATGAGAGACAATTGCGCAGCATTTCTGACTGCAAAGGAACTAAAAGTCATGAGACACCTCTGTCAAAAATGATCAGGAAGTAGCTTTAAAGGAAGCCAAAGAAATACTTTTCCCAAGAACCTGTATTTCCACAGGGGAGCTGGGGGTAGAAGGCCAGAGGTAGATACAAGAAAGGCTAAAAAATATAATGGACATGACTTGTCTAATGGCTATTAAACAGAGGTCTGGAGGCAACATCTTGCTCAGGAAGCAACCAAACAAGCTATCAGTTATGGAAGTGAGGAAGAATATACAAATCTGGAAGAAATAAGGCGATACCTTAGTCACCTAGGGTCATTCCATGCTGCTGTCCCAGAAATTTCCCTGCACTACAACTGAGCCTTCTCTTCTGAGTGGAGATGCTTTCCAATATCCTTGTGACTCAGTGCAGTACCAGAGACCACACACTTTAGACAGCTTACCCACCCTGTGACAGTATCTCAAATAAACTTGCAGTGAGCCCTAAGTTTCTGAGTGGGCCTCTACTCTTAAAGGTAGAGTTGTGGTGCCCATGAAATCCTTTCATGCCTCCATCTTCCTACCTCTAAACTGGATATCAGGTTTTCTTTGCCTTTCATGGGTGCTGTCATTACTTGATCCCAGCTCCTCAGAGAGCTGTGAACATCAGCTTTGTCTTCAGTGTAAGGTTGAGCATAGAGATGATACTGCAAAAATAATTCTTGTGTTACAGACTTGAACATGGTCATAAGATCAGTTTTCCTTTAGCAGAAAAGTTTTTTGTCTTCTTCTGTATTGGAATCTTGCAATTTTTATTAGCTTAGGAACACATGCTTGAGGGTCTGAGTCACTGGCTCAGCTCTACTACCTTCTTTCTCTGAGAAGGGTGCACTTGAGATGTACAGTCTCCACACATGGGATAGAGAAAATTGGCTCAAGAACAAATGAATTAGTTAAGTGACTCTCTTCTAATAAACACAGGAGATGACTTCAGCATTTTCTTTGTCTTTTGGCTGTGAAGGGGCAACCATGACAGCCAATGCCGTTACACTCGATATCTGTCCCTATAGCTGCAGAAAGGAAAAACTAAGTTTTTTTTTCTCTGAAACATGATATATGCTCCTGAGATGCTATTAACAGCCATAGTATCAATAAAGTGACAGAAATCCATACAAGACAACAGCTAAATGTTCCAGTGGTCTCATCTGTTCTTCACTTGCACACAGTTTTTTTCATATTTGTAGACTTGCTGTTGAGCAGGGCCTGCCATTTAGAATCCAATGCAGAACATCAGGTGCAAGTTTCACTGATAGACTTTGTGTTTAGTTGTTTGGGTTTTTCCTTTTAGTTACAAAAGAATTACAAAGCAATGTATAAAAATAGCACCGTGGGTCTTCACAATCTTAAGCACCTCTACCTTCTGCTGGTTAAACTGTCTTTAACAGATAATCCTCAACAGCTTCAGTTTTAACTAGAAATTTGTTAAGATGCTTTTTGCTTTTTTTTTTTGCTTCTAAGTAAGAAACCATAACTTTTCACAGAAAGTCATCCTCTCTTTAGGCTTGTCAGGCCAGCATGAAGCCTATATGACAGAACATGGAGATCATCACCTGAAGCAGAGAGGTCCAATGTTTCTTTTCTGTACTCCCAAGTTAGTACTGCAAAGTACTCTTTTACCCTCCCAAGCTACATCTTTGCTCTGTGACTGACAGCCTTTTCCACTTCAGTTATCTTCCCTACAGTGTAGACACATTTCTTTTCTGCTCTAATATGGTTGCTGAATGGTTGCCCAAACCCAAGGCTTCTTCGATGTCCTGATGCAAGAGATCTCACTGTAAGAAACCATTTCTTCCAATGTGTCAGCTATCACCTTCTATAGAGGGAAACAGTCATATTAAGATCTTAACATCTTTTAGAGCACTTTCAGGAGAGTTTGCACCACCCAGTTATACATTTGAGAGCACAGATGTCCAGACCCTCACCTAGCAGGGAGCCATTTCAAAAGCAGGGGTGCTGATTATCCATTGTTCTCAACTGGCACAATGTTAAGGGACTCAGTCCCAAAGTCAGTAGCAGAGCTTTGCAATTCTGCAATATTTTCCCAACATTACTTAAAAGCAATTACAGGTGAACATCTCTACTTCTTTATTCTTTGTTTTGCTTACAACTTTCCCATCTCTACCTACTGCTTCTTTTGGTGAAGTTAGAGTAGGTAAAGGTGTCTAAATGTTCTTTTAATGCAAGCTCATTTAAGAGGCAGGTGTTCCTATGCAAAACCATTTACTACCTATTAAATACGTTAGGGTCCAGCATTTATCTGGATTTATTGGAGAATAGATTAGTTAAGAGTACAGCTGGACCAGCTCCTATTTTAATTAATGTACCAATATTAATTACATTAATGGAAGGAGTTCCTTTCTTTATTACAAAATATACAACTGTTTTCCTAATTCCCTAATTCCACCAAACAATTTTGAGATTTCTGATCTTTGCCCCCTCTCTGACACCAGTTGTTTCTTCAATGCTAACAGGATTATCTGCCTAACTGGGCAGCAGCACAGATCTATGGCTGTGAGCAGATAACATGTTGAAATGCAAAGCTGCATAGAAATAGTGGGAGGCGAGAGCAAGGTTTCCTAGTGAACCAGGAAAGAAACTTCCGTTAAGGTTTAGTAAGTGTTCAACCTCCTTGGCTCAACCAACATTTTGGTGTTATGCTTACAACCTTCCCCATTGGTTTGTAAGATTGTGAAGGGTGAGACCTCAGGCAGAATTTGTGCCGTCTTCCCTCTCCCAAGTCCACCACGCTGCCTGAGGGTGCTCCTGCAGTAAGGGCTGGCCCTGATGGATGTGCTTCCAAACGTGCCATCATCACCGCTTGAGGGATGGACAGGAAATCAAGCAGACACTCTGCACAGGCCTCTGAGCCCTCGAGGGGCCACGTGGCAGCCTGCGAGGAAGCAGACAGCCAAGCAAGCAGAAACACTGTGCCCAAGAAAGGCCACAAAGCCAGTAGAAATACAGCAGCTTTGGTCACAGCGGGTCCCTGTGCTGTGATGCACCAGAAGACATATTAAAGGGAGGATACATATGTTTACAGTAGTTAAATGTGATTTTATACTCACAGTCCTTCTCTAAGGCACAGCGTGTTGTTTTTAAACAAACATATATGCCAGCTAAGGGGCAGAGGGGAGGAGGGAAGAAAAAGAAGAATCAATTTCTTCTTTCTCAATCTGTTTTTCAGTGAAGGTTAAGCAAGCCTTCCAGCTGAAAGAGCCTCAGGAGTTCTGGATGGATTCAAACACAAATGTCTTGGTCCCTATGTTGTCCATCATGGGGACATTCCAGCACAAAACTGATGCCAGTGGGACTTTCTCTGTGGTGGAAGTCCCCATCAGCAAGACGGCACTGCTGGTGCTGCTGCAGCCCATCAATGGCAGTGACCTGGAGCACGTGGAGTCTGAGCTGACATGGCAGTCCTCGGCCTGGCTTCAGCGGCTGTCCCCAAGGTAGGGATGAAGGGGTTTGGGGTCCACCACACAGGCCCGCCTGCTTGCTGACAGGGGTTGGATCCAGCCAGGGAGAGTTTACTACCGAACACAAAGAGAAACCCCTGCAAACCCTAAGGCCGCACTTCAAGGAAGCTCAACTTTGATGGGGCCTTTTACCTGGGGGTATTTCCAGGAAACAAGCAAGTACCTTTGCAGAGCTGACCCATGAAGTGGTATGATCTGGGGTTTAATAGAGTACCCAGGGTGAAGTCAGGGTGAGTTCACACTTGGAAATAGTAACAAGGCACCCATTGGTGTCTGTCCCCACATACAAAGCACTTCTTGCAGCTGTTTTCACAGCTTCCACCCATTCCCTAGGACTGCCCAAACACCATGCTTTCACAGTGGAGAACAAGCACTCACTTGCCTCTCTCTTTCCCGCTCTTTTCTGCAGAGAAATTAAATTAACGCTGCCGGCGTTAAGAATAGAAGACAGCTCTGATCTACAGGAGCTTCTTGCAGATATGGAACTGCCGGCACTGCTGGGGAAGGGGGCAGATTTCAGTAAAATAAGCAACACCAATCTAACAATTGGAAAGGTACAGTACCTAATACTGGCACTAAAAAAAAGCATGCTTCCTGCACAGTTTTAGCCTCAGAAACTGAATAAATTTACCTAGAACAAAGCAGTCAGCCCCATGTGGGGGACATATTTAGCAGGGAACTTGCAGTATGACTGAAAGATGCAGATATTCCTTAGATTAATTTATCAGCAGCAATAGGTTTGCCCTAAACTACTTAAATTTCATCACTACAGCATACAGCATATTCAAGATCTGAGTGCGCTAGGCCCTGTACATACAAATTAGACTGCATTCAGTACTACCTCCAGTTCAAACAGCTGGAGCACATAGTAGAGGATGCAGTTACTGGGCTATTGACGATAATGCTCCATCACTTAGGGACTACTCCCAGAAATCACAAACACAGAGATGCATGCAGCCCACAGCTTCACCTGAAGAAGGCTCCAGAGTTCAAGCCTCAAGGGGAAGAAGGGAGAGCTTAATTCATAAAAAGAAGGCATATTACATTCCAGAAGTATAATTTGAGTGCCTTTAATTTTATTTTTAGAAGGTGCCCCACCCTTGGAAGTTCTGTCAGGGGCTTCAAGATGTCCTGGTTTTGGCTGGTAGTTAATTTTCTTCTGGTTAGTGCTATGTTTTGGATTTAGTATGAGGAAAGTGTTGATAATACACTGGTGTTTTAGTTGTTGCTAAGTCAGGGGAGGAATGAGTGAGCAGCTGTGTGGTACTTAGGTGGCGGCTGGGGTTAAACCATGACACAAGGGTAACAGGATTACTTACCACCCAAGTGTACAAGCAGTTGTACAGCTTTTTCTCATGTTACAGAACAAGTACTCCAGCATCTTTTTTAAGCATCCATGGAGTGTAATGTGCTGCTTACAGTTGATCTAAGTTATCGATTGCTTCATGTGCTTTATAATTCACTCAGACTCCTATTTGTCTCTTCACTATCATGCTCTGGTGACTCTAGAGTTACTTGTATGTTTTGCCTTACAGGTAATAAATAAAGCCCTTTTCAAACTGACCAGTGATGAAACAGATCAGGCAGAAGATCCTGCAGCACAGAAGGAAGATGGGGTGTACCTGGATGTAACGCTGAACAAGCCGTTCCTTTTTGCTGTTTTGGAAAAGAAGTCAAGGGCAATGCTTTTCCTTGGCAGAGTAACAAACCCTCTGCATGAGGTTTAAATGCAAACACAGGGGATAAGAAAGGAAGGGAATGATGCCATTTCCCATCACCATTTTCTTATTCATCGGCTATTTTTGTGATGTTGTTGAGTGCTCTACTTAGAGATGAAGCAGTTAGTGTTTGAAATACAGCTTTTTGAAAGCTAACACATTGCAGCATTTCATCCTCATTCATCAGTTTCACGTGAGGTGACACACTCTTCCTCCAGCTTCTCTTTTTATTCTCACTTTGTCTCCCTTCTGCTCCCAGCTCCCTTTTTGGATGCAGTGGGGCAGGGCAGTGTTTCAATGCAAGGCATCGACTTTAAAAAAACAGTTTTATAAGCACAAACAGCATTTACTATAGAAAGGTATAGAAAAGGACCTCTTCATTCTTTAAGAAGCTGTTTAAATTTTTTGTTTGGTCAGTTTTGCAAGAGAGAGACTGCCTTTTACATTACAGTGAAAATTTTGCAATTATCCACAGAAATTTTCTAGCTTTATCAGCAACATTTTCCTTTAAAAAGCTGTCAACAGCACAGGCAGGCTTTGCTTGTCCCACTGAGACAAGATTTTTTGCCTTGAAAGCAAAACCACGCTTAGAGGAAGTTTCTTGTTTCTGCAGCCCAGACGGATACATTAATTTCTTAACTCTATGGAAATGCTAAAAATAGGGCTTGGTAGCATTAATGAACTGTGATGGATAAATTCTCAGAGCGGGACAGAATTATCTCTGATTTTTTTAGGGAAAAAAAAAAAAAAAAGGCCTACTATTCCAATACAGTTGCATTCCTTAGATTACATCCTAACCTGCAAGGCATTTATTACCTCTTTGTAGTAAAAAAAGACACTACTGGATAGATCCCAGTTCTGTAAACTTTAACAAATCCAAACCATATGTTCTTTAAAAATAGCATTAATGGCAGTAATATATATTAGTATAAATGGTGGATGTGGTGCTGCTACTTGTAAATAAAATTATTACAGTGGTCAAGTCCAACTCTTAACAGACTTTGAAATATTAAAGTGGAACCACAAATTTTTAGAGGACTCTTGAATTAGGAACAGAGGAATTGGGAGATAAACCTTGTTACTAAGGAAAGCCTCCCAGTGAAACAAGGATTTCCACCTCTCATCTCTAGATCTGCCTTTAGCGCTGATGGCGTTTAGAAAATAACTGCAAACTTCTCGGGCATAAGATGTTAGATGCGTTCTATAGAGCACAGCAGTTCATTATCATCCACGTTGCTCCAAATGTCTATCTAATCTAAATGCACTAATGCACTAAATGCACCAATAGCAGCTTGCTATTGGTGAGGTATATATGTGACAGATCCTTCTAGCTTAATGGAAAATGCTATGACATTATAAATAAAATAACACAAATCCCAAGAATACTAGGATTTCCAGTGCTATGATATAGCATCCATGTATTTATTCAATCATACTGTATGTATTTCAGATGCTCTAACATCTAAATATTGTACTTGTATTATGTATAGAAGCAATTAACTACAAATATACAGAGATGGATAGATGCAAATAAACCCACTTCTAAGTTTCTTTGCCACAGTTCAGTTGGGATTTTGCCCCTAACTACATCCCTTGTTCTGGCTTCTGAAATCTGCTCCAAGTCAGATTTATGTTTTTAAGACAGTAAGTTGCATATTATCATGCAGTACAGCTAATGGTATAGCTTTAAGCATGAAAGCTTCAGAGTAATTAAAAAGTTCATGCTAACTTAAATGTTATCTCATTTACTCACTGAAGTCAGAAGATAGCATCAGCTACAAATAAAACTTCAGACCACAAAATGTTCCATTTCTATGATAAAGATGGACAATACCGAAAGGAAGCCCCTGAAAACACTGACGGAAAGTTTGGAGCAAAATGCCATTACTCCCAGGTTTGGGCTGCATGCTCTGGGGACCCCATACCCTGTTCAGTGGTTACAGGCAGAAAAACAAACCAACCAATCCACCATCTACCAAACCAAACACACTTTTCTGAAAACAAACTTTGCGGTGAAGAGCACCTCTCCACTGACACCCTAGAGAAGAAAATGAAGGAGAAAGGGGCAGAAACAGGGAATTAAAAATATAGAACAGAACAAGTTCATTATTATTGATGGAAAAAGAAGAGTAAATATTCCACCATATTGAGTGATCCAGCCAAATATATGTACTGCTAGGTATCTTTAGGTGATGAAGTTAAAAGAGTCTGGTCTACCGCTGCTATAATTTACAAAGTTGACAATGCAGTTACCATTTTAGAGGAAAACATGCTGCTGCTTTTCCCCTCCTCAATGTTATACAAAACCTCTTCCAGCTAAATTCCTTCCAGGATTAGAAAGGCATATCAAGTTTTCTAAAGGTCCTAGAATGGAAGAAGAAAAAGGCACAAAATCAAAGCTGCATTACTGTCACGAAGTGAAGTGCACTTAAAAAATTACCTAAGGAATAGAAGAAAGAGGATTAGTGGCAGAAGACACCTTCATTAGAAGGCACTTACTTACATGGTAGATCCTCTCCTCCTCACTGATCCACAGTATCTGAAAAAGCTAAAATTTGTTTTACCAAAGACAAAGCCAATTCACACCTCTTCTTTCTTTCAACAGAGGTATCACATAAATTCTTAACTGATGTCATATTCCAATGAAAGAAAATTAAATGCTATTCAAGTGAACAAAAATAAAAGATGGGGAACTGACACAGAACTTGTGATGGAGACATTTACAGCAATCATAAAACCATTCAATAATTTTGATTTGCTAGACAATGTTATTTCCTGCCCAGAAACTAAAGCTGGTCTTCAATGAAAAAGAACACAATTCAGCCTATACCCTCAGCAAGCTGATAATGACATGTGGGAAGCATTGTTATTGCAGGACGATGTCGGAAATCTCATGCAACTTAAGGTGAAGTAACCCCTTCATGCCCTTTTGGTTTGGTACACAGACTGCATCCTTTTCCCTTATTTTGGAGGATAAGACAGCTTTGTTTGTATCCTCACTCCCTAGTATGCACAGATCTCAGAATTTGCTACTTTTGTTACAGATGTTACAGAAATTTAAATGTACATTTATGTATCATGTGTGTATAGATAGACACATTCTGAAATAAAAAGTTGCACAATGCACTACAATCTTAGTCTCAGCCTACAACTTGCCTGTCCATTTTATAAGAAAACATTCTTGAAAACAACAGTAGCTAGTGGTAGGAAGATGTCTCTACTTTCAATTCTTAATAAAAACAAATGAAGAGGAGTGGGGAGACCAAGCTTTCGGGTTCATCATTTAGAAACCTGGAAAAACATAATACAGAAGTTCTTGTTCATAAGCAGTAAGAGTTATGTCCATTCCGTAGCGTGTGCCTAAGGCTGAAGATCTCAATGTCCCTGAAGGAAACAAACAGATCTGGGTATTTGGCAAGTTGGTTCACTTTGCTGTTTTTCTTCAACAATAAATTTGGATGCTCCCTCAGTTGTTTATGTTGCCATGAAAAGAGAGATGCTAAGCAAATTAGAAGAGCCAAATCCTGCTCTCCATTACTGGGAGTGAATCCAAGTACTACCACATAATTTTAAGCACTGATATTTTCCTCACTGCCCTCCTTATAAAATTAATTTTAGAAAAGTCATAATAGCCACCTATCCTAATTGCTTCAAAAGCACCATGATCACACAGTTTTGTTTTCTCAACTAAACTATGGTCAGTTCTCCAACAGTGAGGAATAAAAAGCCTAAATGCTGTGAAAGGTTTGCTCACTACAGCTTCAATGCTACATTGCTATGTATCTCTGAGTACTCAGAAAATTTCCATCATCTCAGCTCCCGCATCCAAGCTCTCTAAATACAGTTATTTTTAATTAAGAAACGTGAACTGGAATCCCAGTGCTAAACTTTCACAAGGTAAAAACACCCAAACGAACAAATCAATCAACCAAAAAACCAACCAAAAAACAAACACCACAAACAAAATCTTCCTTCACTCATATGGGCATTCTCCAATTTGAAAGCCTCAAATTCACCCCCTACTGTTCCCAGACCGTGCTACATGTCCCTCACCTTTAAAAAAGAAGCATCAATAGGCAGGTCACTCCAGGTTTAAGAGAGGTCTTTGTTAAGCCTTCTACCATTTTAAACCCTGGTAACACTTTCAAATTTCCTGCTATATAGAGATGCACCTTGTACTGATGTAACTAGGTTTGAAGTTACCAGAATTCTATGTGTATTCAGGTGAGTACTAATAGACAATATAATACAAATCAGAAACATGCCAGTGGCAAATAAATTCTATCGTAGTGAACTAAGTTTTAGTTTGAAGGAAAACAGGTAGCCTGAATGTAATAACCTGTAAGCTACTTATATTAAAAATTATTTTCAAAACTTCAATTATTTTATGAGCTTTTGTCATGCAGCACTTCTCAACAACGTGATCCGTGAAAAAGCCAAATCAGTAAAATGAAAACATTAAAAAACCAAACGAGAGCTAACCATGCCCCATGATGAGGGAAAGCAAGTAAGTGCAAAGCAATAATGAGAAACAGCAGAATCATGTTCCTGTGAGCACTTCATTCCAGAAGAGCTGGAGTAAAGTTTGAAAGTTTTTGACAGTCTGTAAGGAGTTAAAGAGCACAGTTGCCTGTCTCAAACACTGTCAAGGCCACAGAAGCGACTTGCCATAAAATAAGCCACCACAGTGGAAACTTGAGATAAGTACAGAAGGGAGGAATTTGTGACACTAAGGCCTTGATTCCAGACCTGACAGAGGTGAAATCTAGTTAGTACATCCCGGTTAATGCATCTGGACAAAAATTCCCACTGTGGCAAACTGTGGGAAAGGCCGCAACTGTTCATACACATATCACCAGTCAAGCAAAGATGACGTCAAGTTACGGACAGACAGCACCAACAACCCCCGAAGCACCCCCAGCATGATTTCCGGGGCCTTCCACCAGAGAACTGCACATGATCCAGTGTTGCATCAGACAGTGTAAAACCCTCTCCCACCACGGGAAGTTCTTGGGCGTTCCCATCTGAGCCTGAACATATATATATATACCCATTACACTCCTTGTTTTGTGGGCTTTCATCACTCCTGAGGGATCAAGATTGTGACCATCACTTCAACCAAGTCTTGTTGTTGGGTCCACACGTGGTGATATCTCTCCTGTCTACTATGTACTCTTATCCTTTATTTCTCTTTCTTTCTTTCCCTTATTTATAAAGTGATATCTTTATACTTTTATATTGTTATATTTCTATAGATAATAACTGAAATGGCAACATATCTCCTTTCCATTGCAACCAGACTGTTCTAAAATAAACCTGCAAAATATATATATTTTGTCATTCAGTATCATTTCACTCCAAGCCACCCCAAGGGATCTATTAACAAGAACCTCAGTTATCCCACCTCAGGGGTGGGTTATAACACAGCCATCAATTAATACATTTGATTCAAAAAAGTATGGGACATCAAAAGTTAGGAAGACAATTTATTACATATTATTTTCAACATATAACTTCATTCTTCTACATTTTAAGTTGTACAACAAAAATAGGAAAAACATTTTCTTCTACTTTATTCTATAGTAGAAAGTTTAGAACTTTTAATTGCTTTCCATATAATGGATAACTATGATAAATTCTCAGTCTTTTGGTGAAACAAGTTTATCTTGACAGCAGATACACTGATTTGTTGCTCGAGAAACCTTAGGAAGCACTTCATTGCTACTTATTTGGTAAAATAAAGCAGAGTTAAATTCTCTGTCTTTCTTTTTGGAACGTCGTTTATATTCAATCACATGCT